TTTCTCTGTGGGGAAAAGGAGATGGGGACATAAAAGGGAAATGGAAGAATTGCAACAACCGAAGCTGACCTGCACAGAAAGCTAAAAAAACTTGGGAGGAAGACAATGCCATTAGTCTGGTGACAGCACACTTTTCTGAATACCTGGAGAGAGAGTTGGGCTTGTTCAGTGCGGTGAAAAGGTGGCTGAGGGTGACCCAACACCTGCCTACAGTTATTTCCAGGGCAGTTATGAAGACGAGAGCCAAACTCTTCTTGGAAGCGCCAGATAAAGCAACAAGAGGCAAAACTGTCAGTTTTGGCTGTGAACTTTCAGACTGGACACCAAGCAAAAAGCCCTTTGCTAGGAGAGCAGTGCAACACTCTTAACACGTTTTCCAAAGAGGTCACAGCATCCCCACGCCCTTGAAGGTTTTCAAGATTTGGCTGGACAAAGCCACAACTAGTCCACGACCTCATGTTAGCAGTGGGATCACTGCTAACACTAGGAGAGCAGGAGGTTCGACCCCAAAACTTCCTAGAGAACCCTTCAAACAAACACTTCCATGATTCTGTGATCTGGTATTTTATATAGTTGATATAGTAGAAGAAAACAGGTAGTGGGAATTTTCACTGTTGTACTTTTATTGTGGATAGTAATGAAGCGTAGAGGGAAAATGCCAATGCTAACTGAAGTTAAAAACAGGGAGTAAAGAAAGAGGTAAAGAACCAAGTAGTATTTTTAGACATATGCAAAGAAAAAAGTTTCTAAAGAGTCTGCAGAAACATTTCAGGGAGAGATTTTACCGAAATGTCTTGAGAGAAGTCCTTCTCATTTTCTTCCTCATTCCTTTTCTTTTTGCCTCTCTCTTTCTCTCCGTGTAAACACACACGGAATTTTAGCCTACGCTATTACTGTGCTGCTTCTGTGAAATTAAGCAGGCCTGTCAGCCAGAAAAAAAATATATATTTTTAACCTAAAGGTGTCTACATGGCAATAAAAGCACTAGATACCATCAAAACTAAGCTTGCACAGAAGGCAATCTACTCGAGCAAAACTGATACACTTTAGGTAGAACTTCAGAAATTGGTGAAATCCCACCTGTGCTTTGTTTCTGCTTCTCACCCAGTGGCACTCGGCAGGTAAAAGTTAATTGTTTTAAATGGTGATCTCAACTGGAAGTGCAAGTCTGGAATGAAAAGCATTCTGTTTCTGAAGGTCAGAGAGATGAACTTCAAAGAGTCTAAAGGAGATGGATTTCCTAAGGGCTTGAAGGAGATACGTCAGCTAGTCTTTGCGGGAAGGCGCTTGTAATATTCATTAGTGGTTTGTAGTGACTTAGGCTGGAATAGGATGACAAGGACATGGACTGCAATAAAATTAGCATAATAAATTGAAACTGTGACAGTTTTGGTCATCAGGCCCACATAACTCAGAGTGACAATTCACTGTCTACACTTAGGGACAAAAAAGCAGCGCTGTCAGGAACTCAGCACCCTTGGCCAACATGGGAGCTACACAAAGCCAGCTTACCACCACCTGTGAAATTCTGCGCAGGAAAACATCACTGTTGATACAGAAAGCCAGATTTAATTCTTCATTTGTTTATAATTTTAAAAATGTAAGATGCTGAAAACTTTTTTCTAGCTTTTCCGTATCCCAAAGCTAGAAAAATCCTTCCCGTGCTATCTACATTCATACAGTGTTTAATGCTTTTAGCCAAGCATGAGTTCCTGGGTTATTTACCTTTTCAGTGTCAATAAGTACTCCATAGTCATAAGAGAGCAGAACCTGCTGCTCCTTCGTTTTCCTCTCAAACCAGGAACACTATTTAAGCAAAATTTGGGGAGGAGGAAGAGGCTGCCTGGTTGCAAATGCACACAGGAACGAAGCACCTCAAAGATGTAACACTTCTTCCTCCTGTTAGTATCTGTCTCTAAATACTCTCACACCGAGGTAGCTATCAGCAGCTTTACCTGAGACAACACCAGCAAACAGAGAAAGAGCTTGGACACGGTACTGCAACACACACCACACCTCCCCAAAAATAAAAAAGAAATCACATCCAGCTCTACTGGCAGTGAAGCTGCATGTTGAAGGAGCCCATGCCTCACATTTTGTAGGTAGGCTCGAGCAGGAAAGAAATCCTACCAGAAGACCTCATCTTATTGATGTAGAAAAGAGAAATGCTCTACTAGTTCCTTCAGTCTCGTTTGGAGACTGTGACCACTGATTAAGAGAAAGCCACGTTGCGTGTAGATGAAACGGATCAGAAGAACAGCGGTCTGATAACGAAGCTCAATCTGCAAGTAATAATATGAGAACCACGCTGGGGAGACAGAAGTCATACAGAAGGGTAAAAGTGAAGAGAAAGCTGTAAGGAACTTGGAGTAAAAATTGACCCATCGCAGGACAGTTTGGAGCTGAAATCAGGGAAAGACTTGGAAAGCCCTGTGAGAAGAGAAAGCAACAAGGAGACATAAACCACTGAAAGTTGCTCCAGTTGAATCCACCCAAGAACTGAAAGCACACACAAACCACTCCATGCTGAACCTGCACCTGTTCAAAGTGCTGCCTTTTTGTGCCTCCTTCATTGGTGCAGCTGGAGGTACATCCCAGGGTGCTAGGGCACAGCACGAAGCACTCTAAGGAGAACTTATGCTGTGAGAGCTCTGCTGCAAGTTATCATCCGTGACCAGTGTAAAACTAATGTCATCTAATCTGTCCTTGAGAAGGTCTCTAACAGTAGCAGTGACCATACTTTCAGGGAGCACCTTTGCTAGCTTCCTCTCCACTGCCAACAGACTCCAAAATAAACAGCATCCTTTAAGATGTTTAGTGTATGGTTTAAATCTAGATCTCAATGAGGTTCCCATGAAAGGGTCAATGGCTGCATGGCAAAAGCTCACCCAGCAATTGTCTTTCTTCCCAACACAGTCCCCTCTCAGGAACTGGGACAGGACATTATACTAAACTTCTGGGACTAAACATCTGGATGCTGAACTGCAGGACATCTGCTGGTGACAAGTTCTTGGTTTTGCTAAGTATGCATAAAGGGGGAAAAAAAATTTAGCACGTCAAAAAAGTACCATAGCCTTAAGTTGGCAACAACTGCTCCGTGGTTTTAGCCAGGAACAAAAGCTGTCCTCTCACTCTACATGTTTACACAAATGATCATAGAATGGTTTGGGTTGGAAAGGACCTCAAAGATCATCTAGTTCCAACCCCCCTGCCATGGACAGGGGCACCCTCCACTACACCAGGCAGGCAACTTTCTGCCTCACTCCTGGTAGAACCTCCCAAGTTCAGAAGGTTTTGAGAACCACCATACAGAATTAGGGATTGACAGGCATGGACATAGGCTAATCTTTTGTTTTAAGTAGATCTCCAACTGATTTTAAAAAAGATACACCACTGTCTTCACACTACAGGTAAGCCCTTACACCACCTTTAGCAAACTGACTACTGCTCTGGAGAGCAACAGGTGTAATAAGTAATGAAAAACTCAGTATTTCCAGCAATCAAAGCTGGAAATTCCAGCTACACTTTGGAAACAAACCCTAAGAGTATGTGAGAAATGATATTAAAGCAAAATCCCATCAAGCAGTGAGACACTGGCGTGGCTTGCTTTTATGCCCCATCAAAAATAATTAAAACCATGGAAAGTAAACAAATGGGGGGGGGGAGGGAAGCAAGACTCATTAGTAATGTGGAAACTCGGTACTAAAGAAAATTAAATCAATCCATTACATACAAAGGGTCTTTGAGGCTTTTGTTTGTTCTTGCTACTATGCTTACACTAGCAGTTGATTCCCTGGCACTGCAGACTGCTACTATTCCAGTCTTTTGAGCAGTTACCTATTGAATCTCGGTACAAATGCACTCCAGAAGTGCATTCCAGTAGAGGAAGTTGTATGAAGATGTATTCTACAGAGTTGCATACAGTTTTATGGAATACGTTAAACTTAAAGGTTCAATTACCACCAGCAGCTAAAAAAAAAACAAAACATGTTTTTTGTTGCTTCAAGATGCATTGTTTCAGAATAATTTAAGAAAGCTGCTAATGGGATCAAAGGAAATTTTTATCTTTAATCTGTGTCACGTATTCATGAATAAGAGAATATGCTGATTCCCTTTTGTTACCAAGACACCAACGTTGCTGTGGTAACCACACAACACGAAACAAACTCTACTCACCTGCACAATGATGCCTTTGCTCTTATATTCTGCATGGAGGCCTCGGGAGAAGTAATCCACAAAAGCCTGGAAAGAAAAGAAGGGAAACATGCAGCATGCTACACATGAAAATGGAAACTATAGTTTGCAGGTTTTTGTAAGCGTATTTCAAGTAGTATTATAGAGTTCCTGGTTTCAAAGTGAAAAACCTTAGGTTTTCAAAGAAACTTTGCACATTGGAGCAACGCCAACGGAACAGAAACCCTATGCTTAAAGCATTTTTACAGAAGTGAGGCTCAGTCTCAACAAATAAAACCCTTTTTAATTTAAGGAAAAGGAACTAGATTTGGTACATAAAGCCTGGATAAAAAAGAAAAATAAGACTTTGTATGCTCATATTGTTCACCGCTTATGTCACCTCCTTAGACTTTTTTTTTTTTTTTTAAAGAGTGATTTAGTAGGTTTGTCTTGTGCACAGCTTTTAAAACATAATGTTTAAATACTTTATCTTCTGCCTTTACACTTTTAAGAAACACCACTCTATGGTGATACTTCTTCCTGGTCCTGAATCCACCTCCACAGATTCTATTCCAAACTTCTGTAACGTTTAGAAATTACAAGACTAAAAGTTTAAAGAAAGAAGTGAAAGGAAGTGAAAAGGCTTAAAAGGTGGATGCTAGTACCTGCCTTCAAGGTGCTCTCACATCTGATACAGCTGCCTCCATAACCATGCTGAAAAAGCACTGATCTAATAACCCAAGGCCACTCAGCAGCTCAAGCCAGCATAGATTCCCCCTCCCCAAGTTCTTCTAAACCACCTTTCCACTTTTTCCTTCCTGCAAGCCCAGTGAGACAAAAAATATCAGGTTCTACTATGGCTTCTTGTTTTAGTGAAACAATACAGCCAAGTAGGATGAATGGAGTACCTTCAACCGAAGGAATGAAACTATCTTATCCATGCTTGAAGCTAAAATAAATACTAAACAAATTAATTCAAGTATTTAAGAAGCAGTTGTTTCAGAACAAACAGCAAAGCTCTAGTATCGCACCTGCTTTACAGTCTTCCGTTGGTCACCATGTCACCAGTGGATCAACAGAAGTCCTACCTGAAGCCAGCTCTTAAAAGTTTGCAGTGCACAGTGTTTTTCCCCATCGAGGTCATCCCACTGAACTCAGCCTATACAAGAAGCAACAGAAACACTCCCACGCCACTGGGCTATTTCTATAGACACTCTTCTGAGCGTACACAAGATCTGAAAGAAAAACTAGATTTTGCTGTGTGGTAGATAGGTCCTTTTATTCTTCAAGTTGCATGTACAGGCTAGAAGGAGGCTCATTAAACCAAAAAAGCTTATCCCTGAGTATAAGGTCTTAATGAAATTCAGCACTCAACACAAATGAGGCTCAAAGTCTGGTCTAGCAGCAATGATTCAAGTGAGCTAGCCATCCTGCTGCAACAGTAAGGCACTTCCATAGACATGCAAATAGTTTCGTGTACTCCCTCAACGCAGTTGCCAGATGTATGTGTGATAACTGCGCAGAGTATAGAAATAATCTATTAAAAATAATTAAAAGAACCTGTATCGTGTTTATTGCGTTAATCAAAGTGCTTCGAGCATTCAAATTTCTAACTATTTCTACACGACAAGAGTCCTGAAATCAGTTACTGCTCAAAATACAGAAAGACAGCATAAAAAGACTATCATCTCTACTGATTACAAAGAGCTTGCAATAAAGAGAATGATTGTTTTACATGAGAGGGAAAAGCAACTTCCAGTATTCAAACACGCTTTGGAGTTGTTCTTCTTGAAGAATTTATTTCAAGAAAAGTTGGGTTTTCTACCTCCAGATGTTCAAGCCCTCCAACCACCTTTATGTGAAAACAGTCTTAAGAACACTCGCTAAGTAAATGTCCCCTGAATAAGTAGATAAGCATTGCAAGCAAGAAAATTTCTTCTCCGTGGCTACCTGGTAACAAATCCAAATACTAAAGAGACATGGAGGGGAGGAGAGGGAATCATATTTCACTTCTCATTAGTATTAACGCACGTAGCTAGCTAAACCTGTCAAAAAATAAAACCTATGATTCCTTTAAAAGCGTCTTGTTTCATTGTAAAATAGGGAATCCCTCACGGGAAGGTTACAGAGTTGGACTGCATCTGTTCCTGGTAATTAGCCAAAGCCATTGACTTAGACCTGAAGGATATTATGCTTTAAACCCCCTCTATATAGATGAGGAAAAAAAAAAAAAATCTAGAAATTGCAGATACAGTCTTTCTATAGCTACATTAAGGGAGTCACTTTCATGCTCACTAATCTTGCTGCGGTAAAAGATGAGCAGTGCTGGGAATAGGCAGGTTACTCCACCTGTAATTGAGTTTCTCAAGGGGAGGGGAAGAAATATTTGAGATCCTCATTGGAAAAAAAAAAAAAAGAAAGAGACTAACGAAAGCAGTGTAAGGCATATTATCACCAAAATCAGAAGCTCACTTCATTCCATAAAGCTGAAGGCACTGCCACAACCAAAGTGACCTTTTGTATTAAAACAAAGAACTGCGCTCTCAGGAAACGGCTATTTCATGAGCAAATTTTATCAGCTAAAACTAATTCAGGCTTTTGTGATTTCTAAACTTAAATATCCCCTCTTTTAGTATGAATGAAGTAGCGTGCATCGATTCCTTTCTGGAAATATGAAGATGTTACTGAGAGTCTAGAGGAAACGTAGGTCTGTTCTGACATGAATGACACTACTGAAGGTTTCTTCATCCTGTTGAGGTTCTGAAATCCTTGAAGGATGTCAGGTAATTACCAGGTGCACCTGAAAAAGCTGTAGTGCCATACTCTAATACCGGTGCAAATGTCTCTTGCACTGAGTTTTATCCTGTGTACTTCACTTCTATACTGTGTATCCATATTCTGCCTTCACAGAAGTGAACATCTTTCAGGGGAACATTTTAGAAGCCTCTATAAGCATCTTTGGAAAAAAAAATAAGACCAACTGCAGAAAGACAAAGCTGTACCAGTGACACAAAGAGAAATCAGAGTAGATAAGTTTAATGTGAAATGTAGATCTAGAGTAGTAACTTACAAACTGGTAAAATAAACCAGCCTGTTGTGGAAGACGACTGGAAATTTCAGTAAAAGTGTTTGGCTAAGTGGGGATCTTCTGCATGAACTAAAAATGAGTATGAGAGATAGAAACAAAAAGTAGCAAAAGAGAAACATAAACCATAATTGGGTACTTAGGAATAAAATCCAAACTAGGAGAAGACTAGGAAGGGACATTAAGGGTGGCAGTAAAGGATCCTACAGGTACAGTAGTTCCAAGAAGAATTTCAGAGGAATGAGGGGTCTGTTGATGGATGAGGGAGACAATCAAGACATAAAGGACAGAAAAAGGTTAAGCTGTTCAACAATTCTCTTGTCCTTGCACAGCCGAAGCCTCCTCACATGCCTCTGCATGCACCAGTTTTATTTAATGAAAGGGACAGGCAGAGGCAGCAACGATTTAGGGACTACTCAGAGAAGCTGGATGTATTCAAATCCATGGAGCCACCATGGATTCACTCAGAACTAGCCTGTATGTATACAAGTCTGCTGCCTACTGTATCTGAAAAATTATGGAAACTAGGGGAGGTCTTTGGCAACTGGAAGAGGGCTAACATATCCCTCCTTGAAAAGGCAAGAATGATCCCATGAGCTTTAACTCAGTTTGTGGAAGGATCATGGAGTCCTTCTCTTGGAATTCACTTCCAAGCACATAAAGGACAAGAAGATGCATCAGAAATGGTCAACACAGATTTACCAACAGCAAACAGTGTCTGGCCACCTAAATTGCTTTCTGCAATGGAGTGGACTAGCTTTGTAGATGAAGGAAACAGATTTTTAGTATATATAAAGTATATATGTATGTGTGCGCATATATTTATATATAGATATATTTTCACTTCAGTAAAGCTTTTGACACCATCTTCTGCAGCATTCTCATTTGGAAGTCGAGCAGGTACGTACTGAAAGGACAAACTGCTGGCCAGACTGAAAACTGGCTGGACCACCAGGCTCAAAGGGCCATGATTAATAGCTTGCACTCATTTTTCTCTCAACCTTCCAGCTTCCACTATTGGAAAAATGCAAGTTAGAAAAATCAGTACTTTTAGTTCACAAAAGCACCACTAGATGGACACCAAAACATTTATTCCTGTAGTGTTGGCTTATGTTTGACACTTGATTTCAGCGTGGAAAAGAACACTTACCTTGGTTGCGGAGTAAAGAGTCAGCAGTGGAGTTGGATACATCCCAGCAGCTGAGGAAATATTCAAGATTACCCCTTTTGATCTGAAAGGCAGTGAAGACATTATCATGAAATAAAAGAAACACCTTTCTTGTTTCAGAAAGCTACTGCAAGCCTAAAGAAAACCTTTAGGATGCAACTGAGATTAAGATCTGTTTAAAAACCCCAATCAAATCCTAAATTGGAATTTACTAAAGTGACTTTAAGCACAATGTAAGAATTCAAGCAGCTGGTGTAAGTCAGGAACAACTCCAAGGTCAATATAGTAAGAGAATCCAGCTCCATACATATATACACACACACACTGGGCTAAACTATGCAAGACCAATTGAGTGAAGCTAGTACAAGTCCAAAAGGCAACTTCTAAATTTCGAGCTGAGGTGGCAGAAATGGCAACACAAGTTTGTTATATAGTTCACACTTTGATAATCCCTTTCATCATCTAAACGTTACTTCGTGATGGATCTTCAAGGTCAGAAGTATCTGAATCTACTGCTCCAACACAGAAATGTTTTCATACAGTATGGAAGATACTCAGTGGATGACTACAGGAAATAGATTTCATAGATTTCTAGGTTGGAAAAGACCTTAGAGATCATCCAGTCCAACCGTCCCTAATCCCCATTAAACCATATCCCTAAGTAGATCATCCACCCTATTCTTAAACACATCCAGGGATGGGGACTCAACCACCTCCCTGGGCAGCCTATTCCAGTGGCTGACAACCCTTTCAGAGAAGAAATACTTCCTAACATCCAACCTGAATCTCCCCTGACTAAGCTTATACCCATTTCCTCTTGTTCTATCACCCAACACTAATGTAAAGAGCCCTTCCCCCACCTCCCCACCATCCCTTCTCAAGTATTTGTAGGCTGTAATCAGGTCTCCCCTCAGCCTCCTCTTCTCCAGGCTAAACAGCCCCAACTCCCTCAGCCTCTCCTCATAAGTTTTATTTTCCAGCCCCTTGACCAGTTTAGTCGCCCTTCTCTGGACTCGCTCCAGGAGCTCAATATCTCTCTTAAAGCGAGGGGCCCAAAACTGGGCACAATATTCCAGGTGCGGCCTCACCAGTGCCGAGTACAGGGGCAGGATCACTTCCCTGCTCCTGCTGGTCACACTATTCTTGATACACGCCAGTATCCCATTGGCCTTCTTGGCCACCTGGGCACACTGCTGGCTCATATCAAGCCGGTAGTCAACCAACACCAACACGGCAGTCAACTCAATAGAGTTGGTTTACAGCTGCGTTACAGTAGCACTGAAGGTATTCCACAAGAATATTTTGGTAAGGGTATCAGTCTGAAATGAGCTACCACCTGCTCTGCCAAGCACTTCTAAAACTTTCTGTCCTACCTGCACATGCAACACTCCCAGATTTCCCAACCCACTGACTGATTTTGAGCACGTCTACTTCTGAGACTCGCTTTACCTACAAAAAGAGATGTATTATTCAGTGCTAAGTAGAGAGAAGAAATAGTTTTAAAAGCTTCAAGCAAATGAGGGCAAGCATGCTGTTAGAAGGTGCTACCAGACTGTCCAACACAGCAAAAGACACATTTCTGCTTCTTCTTACCCTGTAGTAAATTCAAGCCGGTTTACCTGAACACACTAAGTACGTTGTGTTTATTGCAGAGTGAGAACATTCATGCAGGTTGGCATCACCCAGCTCAACTCCTGCAGATTCACATACGAGTTTCTCATCATGTTTGTTCATCTAGGATGAACATCATCGCCCTGTGATGCTGGTGCCACAGTGATTTAAGTAACCATCTTCAAACCAAACGGTTGAGTTTAAGTGACCATTAAAAATTAAAACGATATAACTCTTTGAAAATCATGACAATAGATTCAAACTAACGTGGCTTCTGCCACCATACAAGTGTGAATTAAATCTGCGATTGATTCACCTCTAGAAATGAGATGGCTGATGTGGCAGAAAAGAATCATTTCAGGCATTCAGGATTTCAAACACCTTTGCCAAAGTTTGTTGTATTTTTCAGGAGTCATCTGCAAGGCTTGGTTGGTGCAATAAAGCAGTAAAGTGGACAAAAACACGTAGTATGGAGAAAATAAGACCACAAATCAATCACGAATTTTCACTACAGCAAAGGGCTAACAGCGGATGCCAGAAGTTTTTCGTATCAAGACAGGTGGTGCTTGTGATATTTATTCATGAGCTCAAACGGGGATTAGCAGTGAAATGAGTGTTCATGCAGTTTTTAAGAGACTAACAGATTGGAGAACACTATAAGGAATTTTTTTAAGAGCTCAGACTGCAATGTGAACAGGCTACAAAACGGCAGACAAAAAAACAACATTAACAAAACCAACAATGCATACTAAAGAAAATATAACACAAATTAATCACAAACCTTCCAGGCCTCTAAATCAACTATCTGCTCCCTGGAAAACCTGAACAAAGTCCACAAGGAGTTCTCTTTTGTGCAGCTTTCACCAAAACCAGCCAAAGAACAGGATGGTGGGAATGGCAGGGACAGATCCACCACCACTGAAATCTTGTATTACAGGCTACAAATATAGGACAGAAATGTAAAGAACCTGATGATTTAAGAAATGGGAAAAGAAAAAAAAAAAACCACAAAAAAAACCCCAAATACATCAATCAGGTGAAAATATTGGTTCAGCTTAGCTATTTAAGAGACTATTAAGAGCAGCCATGCTAAGAGTATACAGCCTAATGAACGACAAAGATCAAGATCTTGATTTATCCTCTCAGAAGACAAAAGAAAGATGACATTTATCGAAATGAAAGACTGAAATTTAGATCCAATAAAAGGAAGTGCTCTGCCCATATTCAGACTACGGGAGCACCTGCCACAAAACTTAATTGAGGATAAAAGCTTAACAGGATTCAAAAAAAAAGGGTAAGTATTTATAAGGATAAACACAAGCCTCGTGCTTATAAAATAAACCAAAGCTTTAGAAGACAGGCTGGCATTCAGGCTGTAAAATACAGGTCACAGCATCTGGCTAGTGTGCCAGATGTGGTGGCCATCATCTCGGTGCGAATCGATGGTTTGACCCATCGAAGAAAACCCTCTTGGAAACATCACAAAATAGCAGCCCCTTGCAGAAGCTGCGTGGATCGGTCTCTTTGAAGCGGCCAATGCCACTGTGGGTTTTGTGGTTTGTGGTTTTTTCTTTGTAAAGAAAGCAGCCCTAGCCTTAAAAACTCCTAACTTAAAACCTCCAGATAAAAAGGAAACCGAGAAGCATGCGTGTAGAAGGAACAATTCCAATTGCTCCAATTACAATTTTGCTTCCAAAGAAGTGTTTGTAGGGAGGGAGCTGAAGAACTATGCGAGCACCAGTGCAGCAAAAAGAAATTTTGGCTCCATCCAACTCAACTGTGCAATTAATGGAGGGGGATAAAAAAAAAAAAAAGTTGGTTAATACGAAGAGAGTCAGGCCCACACCCTCACACCTCCCCATCATTCTACCTTAAGTGGTCCAGCGCCAGGGAGGCTATATTTAGCCATCTCCCTGTTGCTGTGGCAACCAGTGCCTGCTCCAGCTGCACGCCAAGTGGAAAGAGCAAGCTTCCTCTGTAATGTAATTATGCACTTGCTACTTCCCTGGCAATAAATACCATAGTTTGATATTTGTCTAGAAACAGTCAACTGATTTTCGTTGGTGGTGGGGTTGGGGTTTCTTTTTTTTCTCCCAAAGACATTGGCTCTCAGTTTTTAGTTCTGGGAGTCTCCCACCTTAGGCAGCAGCCCGAAAATTTACAGAGGAACTGCTTGTTTAAGTGCAATAGGAAGCTGCAGATTATAAATTGTCACTTGAAGTGTTCAGAGCACAGGAGAAGAGCCACAGCAAAGAATCTAAATGCCATTACCAGAAGTGGCATTCATCCAATGCCGTTATGTTTATTATAAACAAAAAGTAACGGACACATCAAGATGCAGTTGTGTTTTCTCCTTACAGACCTGGATGCGAAGCACGTGAAGTCTGTTCTGTTTCTGTATTTGTCTTGTAATATATTGCCATAAACCCAACATTCAGATCCATAAAAGTATGCACTGTAGCTAGCTGCAAGATCTGCAAGATGCTATAGCGTCACATCTATCTACTCAACATGCCATCCTCCTTGAACAAGTGAGGAATAACGATGGGATTCCTAGCCTAGTTTTATTCTTAGAGCCTGGATCCCTTTTTTTCCCTAATCCACGGTCCCATGTGGGAAATTTATAGCTGGCAGAAAGAGCAGCTGACTACAGCTACCATTCATTCACGCCCTTGGATGCGCTGGGCATCCCTGTCCTCCTGTGGTTACAGACTCTTAGTGGTGTTAACGGCCTGGGAGCTGTGACTATGCAGGAATTGGCAGCTGCAGACGTCGCTTCTGTGCGTTGCAAACCTGACCATCTTCACAAAACCAAACAGAAAATGGAAGCTTTTTCAAAGACTTTTCCCTGGGACAGAAACCAAGGCCTTTGTTCAAATGGAACAGCCACTTACAGTGGCTCCTCAGACACAGGAAAAATTTCAAGGCGCGTTTTTTTTTTTTAACCACTATTAACCTTTTCTTTCTAAGCTTCTTGAACATTTAGTCTTGAAGTTCCTGAGGTAATTATGTAGTTAGGAAAAGCGAGAAGAAACGTGACATGTGTGCTCAAGGGCAGTCAAGCCAGAAGTCCGCAGGATCTTGGTTTTGCTGCCTTTCATTCCAATCATCTTACCCAGGTCAATGCGCAATCGAAAAACATACAGAGGTGTGGTGGGTTTGTGTGGTGGGGTTTTGGTAGTGGGAAAGGGGCTACAGGGGTGGCCCCTGTGAGAAGTTGCAAGAAGCTTCCCCAGCTCCAAGTTGGATCCGCCTCCGGCCAGGGCTGAGCCCATCAGCGCCTCTGTGATAACATATTTAAGAAGGGAAAAAAAAAAAACTGAAGAACCTGCAGCAGAGAGAGGAGGGGGATGTGAGAGAAACAACCTGCAGACACGAAGGTCAGTGAAGATGGAGCTGGAGGAGGTGTGCCAGAGCAGAGATCCACCTGCAGTCCATGGAGGACCCCACATCGGAGCAGGTGGCTGCACCTGAAAGAGGCAGAGACCCCATGGGAAGCCTGTGCTGGAGCAGTCTGTTCCTGAAGGACTGCATCCCGTGGGAGGGACCCACGCTGGAGCAGTTCATGAAGAGCTGCAGCTCGTGGGAAGGGCTCATGTCAGAGAAGTTCATGGAGAACTGTCTCCCATGGGAAGGGACCTCACGCTGGAGCAGGGGAAGAGTGTGAGGAGTCCTCCTGGAGCAGCAGAAACAACGTGTGATGAACTGATTGCAGTCCCCATCCCCCGCCCCACTGCACGACTGTGTGGGAGGAGGTGGAGAAACTGTGAGGAAAGCTGAGCCCGGGAAGAAGGGAGGGTGAGGGGAAGGTGTTTTTAAGATCTGGCTTTATTTCTTATTATCCTTCTCTGATTTGATTGGTAAGAAATTAAATTGATTTTTTCCAAGTCGAGTCTGTTTTGCCCATGACCACAATTGGTGGCGAGTGATCCCTCCCCTGTCTTTGTCTCGACCTTCAAGCTTTTTGTTATATTTTCTCCTCCCCATCCCACTGGGGATGGAGGAGTGAGCGAGTGGCTGCGTGGTGCTAAGTTGCCAGACAGGCTAAGCCACGACAGCAGGACACTCTATAAGTAGAGTATACATCATTGTGTCCTGAGAAGCTGAAGAGATCAACTGCCAAATGGATAACTACAACATTTCTTTAGACAATGAAGAAACTGAGGCAAGAAACTGTCAGAGTTTCAAAGTTCCAAAAACTAATAACCAAACAACATTAAACCCTTCAAAAGCAGAATGGCTTTGGTCATGTTGGCATCTTCAGAGGGTGGTGGTTTCACAAAAGGCAGGTCCCTTTATCTATCAATAATAGTACACGGGCAAGGAGTAACTTTTGACTTACGAACCCCGAGAACCCACCACTGCACTCTAATCCTCATCCTCTACTCCAGCTTTATCGGGAAATATTACATCCTGCCCCAGATCTCTGCCTTGGGTCTTCGTTTCTAATTCAAGTTTCTTTACATGAAATAAACTCATTCTTATCTCCTGATTGTTTTAACTAAAAATCTAAGCTTGTCATCACCCTGATGTGCTAGACACCCCCATACCGGCCACTAGCTCCGACGATTTGTACCCATGAAGAAACTTTGGTTCAGATGTGAAACGTTTCCTCTGCATCTGTGCAACGCTTGAATACTTGAATCCTGATCTGCAAGACTCCCAGATAATGGGATGATACAGAAATATCGATTTTTTTTTTCCTTAGTTTTTGTCTGATTTGGAGGATTGCCCCATAGATACGCTCCTCCTACGGTATTCATTTGGAGGCAATACCATGGTGACTACCATGTATGGTTCTACACGGCTTTCCTCGGCATGGCCAGCGTAGCTCAGACCTGACCTCGGGCAATCCCCAGCAAGCCGAGGTTAGCACCAACAGCCTGGGACAGTCAACATCAGCTAGAAAACAGCCTGGAGAGGCTACGTGGAAATCCTGCACCTTAGTTTCACCCAGGAGCTAGCTAGGGAGTCAGCACGCATCTTCCGCGGCGACTGTGGTGTGCATTAACTCTTATTTTAAAGAGCTGGTGTCCAATTCTACTTTTCCCAAATGATCACAGACTTTCCTCACTATACCTCCTACTGTATAATGAGAACATATTCTTTGCATCCATTTTACTTACAATGACTTAGAGAAATAGCCTTAAGAAGGTTATTCCCAGGAACTGTAACCACCCCCTCAGAATAGCAGGTTGTTGAGTTAGTGCTGATGAGTCAGACGGGCTTTTTAATTCTGTTCTAAAAGGAATCACCACAACAGTGGAGAAGGGAGAGGAAAAATAAAAAGGGAATCGAGTGGAAAAGGCTTCCACCGTCTGATGATTCATGCCCCATCAGCGTGACTCACCCAGCATTACTCTGCCATTAAAACATGGAGACCAGGCTGATTAGTCACAGTAATGAATTTTTCAAGAAAGGATTCTCCCCTATAAATAATGATGACTTTGTCTGGATAGTGTTAGTGTGACTCACCTTTCCAGCATGCCGGGCAGCACCAATCGTGTCATCTGCAAAAAGAAAACATTTGTGATGGCTGAGAATGCAGACACCAGGCAGCCAGGGACGGAGGGAAGCCTCCCTTCCTCCCAAAAGCAGCTGCCACCCCCTCCACCCCAACCAAGGCTCGGGGAAGCAGAGACCATACTTTGCGTGGGCAGTTTATTTTTATTCTACCTGGATAACTTGGCTCTGTCAAGTAGTGTGTGCACTGGATCTGGTGAACCCATCCAGCTACTAGCAGAAGTACAATAAGAGTAAATAAATGAAAAAAAAAAAAAGTCTTCAGCACTCTGCAGCATCCGTGGCCTCTAAAGAACATTAAAACACCGAGTACTGTGGTACCTCCACAATCTTTCCTCACAAAAAGCATCTGTATTCCTCAAGACTGACTAAATTTATCACCTATGCCAAGATGCAAGAGAATATCCTTGAAGGAAGGATAGAAGGATAGTAGGAATTTTAGCTAGGCTTACTGAACTGCTGATTTTAAGTTAAAATTAAATTGTGGAGCAGCAAGAGCACTGGAGAGAACTAGTGAAGAGAAGTTTCCTACATGACGTTACCTACAGAAAACATTTAAGACTCCAAAACTTTTTTTTTTTTGCTGATTACACAGATGGTTTTCACACTAAAGAACCTACATAACCCATGAGGAAAGTAGCCTGGTAAACTTCCTCACTGCTCTGGAAGCTCCTGCCTTCGTTGTGATTCTCAGCAATCTATTTACGACCTGGGTGAAGGATTCTCCAGAGCAGGAATCCTAAAAAAAGCTTCCCACTTGCAGACAGAGCAGCTCTGACAAAGGAAACAAGTCAAGCATTGATCCAAACTTTGATGAATTTTAATTAGTGTGAAATAGTTAATTTTCCTACTACTAATTACTACCATCTTAAAATATGACTTAAATCCCAAATTTCTGCCCTTGAGAAATAATGTTAAAGTTCAGCTTGTGCCAAATACTACCCTGCCCCAACCCTGTTAATAAATGTCACATCACCAACACCAAAGACAGATCAGACAAGAAATACAAATTGTTACCACTTTCCATATCTTTAAAAGGTGTTCCCACAAAGTTCTCGAAAACACAGTGAGGAGGGGGGTAATAAAATACTAATGGCACCAAAATGTAACAGTACTCCCACTGATACCCAATTACCTTGATAGCTTAAAACACGAAACATTTGAGAAGAAAGGGAGGAAAAAAACCCCAAAGAAATCAGGAACAGGAACACAAAACACCCGTAAGCACTTTTATTACAAATCTTATTGTAGCAAGTTATTCCAGTTACTATCACCACTGCATTAGCCCTTACGTACGACTGAATCTGGGTTTGGGTTTTTTTGTTTGGTTTTATTTTTAAATTATAAAACGTACCCTCTCAGTAATAAAGGAGAAAAATCACAAAAGAAAACAAAATTTCAGTTAATTGCAGTGGACACACAAATGAAAATGGTAGAGAAGGGCTGTATTTTGCATTTTATTGGCATTTCTCACGTAGGGTAGATTCTGCCATCAGCCAAACTGCATGACAGCTTCAATAAGGGACTGGGCAAGCAGGAGAAAACAGACCTTACTTTCATCAAGTCAGCTGTTGACATATTTGACTCTCAGCACTGCCCTAAAAGTCAAACTAAGTATTCAGAGTTGGTAAACATCACCAAGCTAAACAGATCTGATGTAACTTCAAAAAAACCCCAATCCCAAACCTCTAACATTAAGTATGCGTGAGCTTTTTCATACACTAACACTTCAAGAGATGCAGAAACAGTTATTTATTTTTAAGTTAAAGGATAAAGAATGATTTGGGCTGATTTTAAGACTGGAAGATCTTTTCTCTGGATCTCTCCCACAGATCCCTTGGCAAAAAGAGGAATATTGTTTCTTGCCTCTCAGGGCAGTGTAATGCTCCGTGTCATCTCCATGGACCAAAATTGCCTTCCCTTAGGCAACCCAGAAGTGGTCTAAAAAACCAGTATGGGATCTCCTGTTGTAATGCAGAGGGGACCCCGTGTTTGAAACTTTGGTCATGAATCCACAAAAATGCATTCATGGTCTAAATGCAAATTGCAACCCACCAAGCAGCTCTTAACAGTGGATCGTGAACTTGCTGGTTACTGTTGATATCCAAAGGGGAGCAGAGAAAAACGTGCTACAATAATTGTTTGACTTACATAAATTAAAAAAAATATGAAGTCATCAGCCGAGACATAACACTAGGTACACAATTCAGGTAGGAATCAAGAAGTCTGTCACCACCAGCTGTGTTAAACAGTCTGTTTCTAAAGTTCAGCTGGACAGGCAATCCATTTTTTTTTTTCCTCTCCACAGAAAAAACACTGATGGCAAAACTGGATTTCGTACTCAACATCACTTCCATTTGTTCCCATTAAAATTAATATTTTGAGAGAATTCCAAAAATCTGTGAAATAGGTCAAGACTTTTCCCTGTCTGTATTTTTACATTTTGCGATATCTGAAAAGAGATACAGGAATCTTCAGCATCTTTATGTACAGAAAAAAAGACTGTTTTTTTACAGAATAAAATAACAGAAGGCAGCTCTCTGAGTCAGCCTCACCTCGCCCAGCCAAGTCCACACTCAGACTGTTTGAGCAGTGCAAGAGCACTATTGGAAAAACTCTGGCAGCAGGGAATTCTGCAGCTGTAATCAGGTCTGGCAAACTCATGCATCGTACACACATGTAAAATATTCCCAGCATTAATCCAAATAAACCAATCTATTAGCAGAAATGTAGTTCTGCCACTAATAACAGCATCCATACCTGCTTGCACAATTTTTACCCAAAACAGCCAAACGGTTAATGCTCATCTTCAATAGCTATCATCTCAAACATGCAGTTCAACAACAAACATCCAGAATTGAATAAATATCTTGCAAAGAATCCAAATTTCAGCTAGGTCTTGTTCAGAGATAGCCAGCTCTGTAATAGGGTGTATTTCATAAATGCCAAAGCATTGCAAGGCTGAGTCTATAGGAATCAGCACGTAGGATGCTGGAGAACTCTGTGGCAGTGTTTGTTTCTCTGAAGGTAATAATAAAAGAAGAAGAAAGTGGCAGGAAACCTACAGGAGAGGTTGGGAACTATCCTAAGAGTGTCTTCGGTTGGTGGTTATTGAACTCATTTAGGCTTCCTTCACACAACCATTTTTCTGAACGAATACCACTATCCACAGAAATACCAGTGCTGCACTGGGAAACGTGGATGTTCCCAACACTCTGAAGGCTTTGGTCATTTCAGACCAGTAGCTGGACACTAAGCTATGGGAAAACTGCCACCTCGCCCAAAGCAAACTGGTTTTTCTTTCTGAAAGTTTGCAGTAGAACACAGTGAGAACGTGTGTGTGCGTGCACCATCTGAGAAATTTGCTCAGGACAGTCTCCTCGACATCAGAAGCTGTAAATCTTTTATATTTTATGTAGTGATGTTCAGCACACAACCATGAAGCTAAACAAGCTCCCTTTGGAGAGGGACTTTTTCCAAGGGCATGTAGTGACAGGACAAGGGGCAATGGATTTAAACTGAAAGAGGGGAGATTTCCATTAGATATAAGGAAGAAATTTTTCACTCTGAAGGTGATGAGGCAGTGGCACAGGTTGCCCAGAGAAGCTGTGGCTGCCCCATCCCTGGAAGTGTTTAGGGCCAGGTTGGACGAGGCTTTGGGCAACCTGGCGTAGTGGAGGGTGTCCCTGCCCATGGCAGGGGGGTTGGGACTGGATGATCTTTGAGGTCCCTTCCAACCCAAACCAGTCTATGATTCTATGAAGCAGTAGTTGTTGAGGGGTCTTTGCTTGTTGGTTTTTCAGTTATTTCACATATACACATAATGCTACCATAGAGTCTGGGGCATGGTTCCTTCGGTTTGGGGGACTTAATTAGTTTTAAGTCAACTTCTTTCCCACTAACCCTCCATCTCCTAAGCTCCAGGATGCTCACAGCAAATGGCTAACTCAAGGTAGAGATTCATTACGGATCCTTTCATTAATCTTTTATAGGGCAGCTGTTATTTCTTGATGTCTATTTAACTGCAGCTGCATTTATTACATGTCTGGCAAGCACTGGTTGTATTGCCCACTCTTCCTCACCAGATCTTTCTGCCTTCTAATTTTGGGAAAAGGAACACCGCTTTTAGACTAAAGCAGTAGAGATTCCTACTTGCAGATACAAAAATGCACAACCATATGGCTAGATTTATGTTCTAAAACAGGTGCTACACTTAAAAGCTCCTATTAGAGGACTAACAACTAGTTAGAAGTTATAACCATGTATTTCCAGATTTTTTTCCTTCAGGAAAAAAATCTCTCATTCTTAGTGACCACTGTTTTCTCATTTTGATCCAAGCAATAGCTCAGGAGCAGAGCTCAGAGAAAAAAATAATGATTTGCAAAGTTTTGAATATCTTTCAAGTGATACTCACTCAGACTGCTAAAACACAGTAGGAGAAGTTGAGGGAAATATTCAAAGTCATCCTTCCCATCTTACGGGCCACACAATTGTTATACAAAACCAGAAATCTAAAACCACAGTTGTATATTTAGAGACAAATTA